ACAGGTTTAAGATAACAATCGATTTCAGTGGTTTTCGATCATTGTAATATTTGCTTATGATGTGACCAATGGCGCAATAATTGTAGTAATGGTTTTTTAACCGACACATAAAAACCTAAAAATTGTATTCAATAGTACAAAGCTTAATACACAATACTCTAAAAGAAAAAATAATATAAAAGTTATTAAAATATTTTCATAATATTCGAGATTGAATTATAAACTATATATATCAATAATCTTAAATATTTTATATAAACAAAAATTCTAGATAAACACAATGATTTACGAAACTAAAACATGACTTATGGACTGTGTTTCTGGAGCTATCTGTGTTTTCGAAATTTAGAAAATGTTTATGGTTTCGACACGATAAATAGTAAAATATGATAATTTTATGTCTTCGAAAGGCAGGTGTAAATTTGCTTCTAGAGAATCAGGTTTCTTGCAAATATTTAATTATATAGAAAATTTTAGATTTATATTTTAGAAAAAGTTTGGAATTGGGTTTGAAGAAACGCAGGAGTGGAAATTATTTAATCAACACATAAACCTTATTATAGAAAAATAAAAAAATCATTGATTTGAAGTGTTGTGATATTAATCCTAATCATATGCAATTTAAAGATTTGGTAGCCATTGAAATTTAAAAATTTAACAAATTTAAAATAAAAATAATTCTTAAAATATGCTTTTAATTATTCAGTATTTTTCTGAAACATTTTATTGAGTGGTTCATGCATAACATTATTTTAAATAAATTATAAAAATGAAATAAAATTAAACGATAACAATTTTGAAACAAAAGTTTTTTAAACTATTTTTATTTTTTTAAATAATATTCTGTACATTTGTACACTTATATAATAAAATAAATAAATAAAATTTTATTAAAAAAAATTTAATCCTCGTTAAACCTGTTCGTGTCTATATAAACATATATGTAGGTACATAAATAATATTAAAACAAGTTCATGTCATCAGAATTCCTCGATCTATCATCCTTTTTAAATAATTTTCAAGTTCATAAATTCCTTTATGGTTAAGTTTATCTCTTCTTTTTAAAATGACGAAACAAAAATGTTGCAAAATAAAAAGAAAAATTTATAAAGGATATAAAAAGAAAAACATACAGAAAAACTATAAAAAACGAAATAAAAAATAATGAGAAAAAAAAAGATGAAAACTTTTTAAAAGAACAAATGTCTACCACATTAAGAATTTTTATAATATGTTCTAGAGTTGCATAGTTTATTTTCTATGTTTACGTTATGTTGAATATGTTTTAACTTCCATATGCAATCATACACATCTTTCACTCATATATACATGTGTATGTAAGTGCAATATGTATTTGTTGTTAGAGTACGTACATACATATGTAAATATGTATGAATATATTTATAAATATAGTACTTTTATTATTGTCATAGGTCAACGCACTATTCAAGTTGGAAAACTATATATAGAAAATGAAAAACATTAAAGCTTACTGTTTTACATAATATATACAAATACTTTTATATACATATAAATATTTTAACGTGACATGTATATATGTATATATGAATATACTAAAAATGTTTATATATAGGTTGCAGAATGTCAAACCACCATCAGGATATTATATTATATACGACGATATGACAATAAAAGAAAAAATATAATAACAAGGGAAAAACGAAAATAATAGCTGCCAGAAGCAAAAAATCAAGAATATATTTTTACTTTTTCTATTTAGTATTTACGGTACACGATTTAGATATGAATGTACAAGTGTACAAATATAGGTACACTTATTTTCTTTGAAATATTTTGTTGGCATCATTTATTTTTTTGTATATATAATATTTAATTAGTTATCCATCATCTTAAAATTTTATTTCTGTTATATTCTGTTTAGAATGTCAAGGATAAAAATGTGATCTCATTTGTTTGTTTCATTTTGATTTTAATATGCTTGTATTATTTGAAGTCGTGGAAATTTGAACATATTACTTGTTTTTATAAAGGCAATTTGAATTGAATGGTGTATGTAGATGGAATAGTATGATTTTGAATTAAAATATTGTATTCGAGTTAATTTACTACAATTAAATAAAATAATTTTTAAAAATTTGTTTTTGGTAGATTTAATTTTAGGGATTTCCAATGGGTTCTCAAGAATTTATGGATTTAATTAAAATTTATTTTGAATCTTGAAATTTCATTTCCCCATAATACACTCCCACTTCGTCCTTAATTCCTTCATTTCTGTAGTTCATTTTTCCTTCCTTTCATTTTTACCGCCACTATGTTAATTTCTTCAACAACACTATGTTAGTACAACATTAAACCTTGCACTAATCATATTTATTTAAACTTAAAATAATAAACAAAAAATCTTTATAAAAAATTATAAGAAAATTTTATTTTTCTTTATTTTTTTCGAATTGTCTTCTAAAATAACAAAAATAGAAAAATAAAATTTTTTTATCATCTTTTTTGTTGTTGAATATTTATGAATTTCATCACGTGGAAATCTGAAAACATAACAATATCTCGTATATTCTTAAATTATAAAAAAAAAAGAAGAGAAACATAATCTGATAAAAAAATTTGTTTATGTACAACAATAGAAAATTTGAAAAAATTTTATGATTGGCTCTAAATGTCCCGCCCTTCTATTTAAAAATAGCAAAAATACAAAAAAAAAACATTAACAAAAAAATAATAAATGAAATAAATGATGAAAACTTAAAAACAAAAAGTAAATTAAAACAACAAAAAATAAAAAAAATAAAAATGAAAGAGGAAAAAAACAAAAAAAAGTCACGCAGGCGCTACTCCTTAATATTGGAATGCAATGCACTGTAGTAGAATTACTCCATTCAAAAACAAAAACAACAATAAGAAAGCAAGAGAGAAATAAAAATAAAAACGAAAAATATCAAAACAAAAAACAAAAATGCAGTATCAAAGAGGGTGAAGAAAATTTAATAAAATGTAAGCATAAACACCGTTATTGTTCTTTTTGATTTGATGTAATTTTTTCTCTTCTCTTTTATTATTGTGATTTTTACTCTTTTATTTTGTTTTTTTTTCACTTTTTATGTTATTTGTTTATTATTTTTTTTTCTATTTATAATATTTTTGTTTCCTTTTTTTAACTACTTTTGTGTAGCAATAGGATTATTTTGATTGTTAGATTTGGAAGGTTGTTGTATCCAAGTTACGTTTAGAAAGCCTTTTTTTTTTAATATAAAATTTTTGCTCATAAATCAGGCAGAGATTTTATAATTTAGCTTTCAGATAGTATTGAAGTTGAGGAAGAAATATTTGAGAGAAAATATTACAGCTTGAGAGCTACTATTATTTGAGAGAGAATTTTATAGCATTTTATTTAAAATTTACCCATATTATTAAAAAAGGAAATTTGGCTTTTATTAGTACATATTAAGAAGTACGAAGTAATTTTAAAAATTCATAGTCTATTAATTGGAAATTATTTCTGTTAATTTGATCAATTTCACTAGAACAGAGATTTTAGCAGCACGTTTGATTCTATAAACCAATGACTTTATACGTACGCTCTTAACTTGCTTTTACTTCTATGCTTATTATATTCTATTCCAATTAGTTTGCCAACGTCTGTTAGTTTACATAAATTAATTAAAAAATAGCTAATACTTAATAGAACAATGAAATTTTCAGATAAAACCTTGTTAATAAAAAAATTATGTTTGAATAAAATTCAATTAACATTTTCTTTGGTTTGCTTTATAAATTACTAACATTAAAATTGCAAAAAAAAATTCTGAAATTAGTGTGTTCATAAATCTAAGTACTAAATCGTGATTAGAGTGAAAATCACTTTATGTAATTGAAGTCTTTAGTGCAAAATACAATCACAATGTAAAATTTTTAGTTAATTTTAAAGTAAACTTATCCTTTCTATAATCTTCCAGTAAAGTCTGCTTATAATCTGAAAATATTTTAAGTCTTGTAATCGAAAGTCAAATTTTCAAAATAAAATTTCCGACTGAATTAAGAAGAAGAATAACTTTTCCAATAATAAGCAAATTTTTCATTAAATTCATAAAATATTGAATGTAATAATCATTCGTGTTATAAATACTTGATAAATATATTCTGCTATTTTTGAACCCATCCTTTTGTTATACGTATCCTGCAGTGAGGTGGCATAAAATATTTAATATTTATTTTATATTCTAATCTATTTTGTTGCTTTTATTATTTTTGCTCGTTTTATATATTTAACAATTTCATTTTTGTATTCTTATGTTCGTATGCCTACATGCCTACATTGTACAATATATAAACTCACATACATACATATATTATGTGTAATTATAAAATAACAAGTTATAGATTATGTGATAATTACTTGTACTCATGCATATTATGTCCTTTTGTTAAGTATTGTTTTTTTTTGCATAATTTTTTTTTATTTTATTCTTAATTTTTACATAATTATTATTTTTTTTTTCGTTTTTTATTCGCATTTTTTAATTCGTTTTTATTTTTTATTTATGTTTTGTTAACTTTTCGTTTTCTTTTTTTTTTTTTTTTTTTCTATTTTGTTTATTAAGTTGAATAATAATTTCAAGGAATTTAGTGAACGAGCGCATACATATGTGTTAATACAAACAAAATTATTTATTTGTTAATACCTTTTGGGATACAGAGTGAAGAAAACAATAATATTATATAAAAAGAAAGAGAAAAAAAAGTGAACAAAAATTTACAACTACAATAAGAATTTTATTCGCCCGCATTTACATATATACATACAAGTACATATATAGATAAATAAAAAGTGGTACACATGCACACATGCACACATACAAATTATATTATGCATTTTATTGTTGTATAAGGATATTCAGGAAATTGGTTAAAACAATGTTTTTATTAATAATAGATGATGATCGTGATAAAAATAACAAAAAAAGAAAAACAAAAATAAAAAGAAGAACAACATCAGAATGGAAAAAAATTGAAATTGAAGAAAAAATGAGCAAAAAGAAAAAAAAATTTATAATAATTTGCTTTCGTCTTTATTTTCATGCTTTTTTTTTGAAAAGTGGGAAATTGCAATCAAAAGTAAAAAAAAAAATAACAAAAAAAACAAAACAGAAAACCTAAAAAACAAAAAAAGGATATTTGTATTTTATGTTTGTTATCCTTGTTATTTTTTTATTTTATTATTCTTTTTGTTTTATTTTATTTTCAACAAAAAAAAAAAAGACAAAACTTGATAATATTCACTTGTGATTTTTTAAAAAATAAATTTAGTTTTGTTTCGGACGGTATTCAATTAAGACGACAACGAAAAAAAAATTTCGAAATTCAACAAAAAAAAAGCCAATTTTTATTTGTTAATTAATTAAAATACAAGCAACAATAAAGAGAAAAATAAAAAATAAATTAATTATTATTTTTCAATTACAAAATCCAAAAATTTTATAATAAAATATACATACATATAAACATTAATATAGTTGAAATTAAAATTATATTAACATATACTTACAAATACTATAATAATATACTTAAAATATATTGTATATAAAAATAAATGGCTGGGCCATTTTTATCACCGCTTCCAGGTGATTTAATAACTGAATATATGTTTGGGCGTCGAAGACAAAGAAGAAATCGTACAACATTTACACCACAACAATTACAAGAATTGGAAAATTTATTTCAGAAAACACATTATCCTGATGTATTTCTCAGAGAGGAAGTTGCCTTACGGATTAGTTTGAGTGAAGCACGTGTACAGGTACATATAAAAAAAAACACCTTTTATTTTCTTATATAAAGGATGATAACGCATGATAACATGAAAAATAAATATTAAAAGGGAAGATATATGAGTTTATTTTTTAATTTTCATTTTGTCACATTGATTTGAAATCGTTCAAATGTTTTTGTTAAAATTCAATTAAATAAAAGTAGATTAAATATTAAATAAATAAATCTGGTACTTAAGAAATATATTATTAAATTAATAAAATTGGAAAAATTTTAAAATAAAAAATTATTATTAAAGTTTTGGATTTGATTTTTTTACTATTAATGAGAAATTATCGGTCTTATTAATATAAAAGTGAATTTTTATTACAAGAAAAAAATATTTTAATTAAATTCAGTTTTTAAAAATTATTAATTGAAATTTTATGAGGGGAGTCTAGTTTTTAAAGGGAGTGTGTTTTTAACAATTAAAAAAATATTTGAAACATTTTTTAATTTTAATGTCGATTATAACCAATGTGCAGACACATTTCTAAAATTTAACAATTGAATAGCGTTTAAAATAATATTATATTTTAATTATTTTTTATTTAATCTATTAATATTTTTTAATTTATACAAGCTTCTGTTTTATAAGAGCTTCAAAGATATTTGAAAAACAAAAAAATAGAAAATTTATTTTTAATTCTTATAAATTTTTTACAAATTCTTTAAATACATCTGCACGAAATTTATGGAATTCCGATAAAAAAATTTGGTTATAATTGGATTGTGTTCTTTTCTATAAAATATTTAATTTAATAAATTTCCAATTTAATTTTAATTACAAAACAATTATCAATTATTTGTGGAAAAAGAATTTTGATTCTATTTTTAACATTTTTTAACTTCGAAATTAAATGAAATATTATGAAAACATTTTGACAAAATTTATAGATAAATAAAATTATAAGGAATACAGATTTGAAATTAATTTATGAAAAAATTCAAACTGGATGTAGAAAATGAAATTGATCTAATTTGTTGCACTATTGGTATTCATAATTGTTTGACACACATGAATCAAAATTTGACAGAATATACGCATAGATTAACAACAGAGAAAAGGATTTTGAAATAAAATTAAGCACCGTGACACCCGTCTAGAACAGGTTTTGCTTATAATCACACAAAATTCGTTTAACAAATCTCACATACACGATTATAGGTATTGAGCAGGTTCTACTCCTAATATTAATTTTACAAAAGATTATTTTAACAGATTAATTTAACAAAAGATTAACTTAAGAAATTTACAAAACATTCAAGATTAAAATTAACATTGAATAAAGTTGGGTCAAGTTCGACAATGAAATATACTGCTTTTAAAAGCAATCGATTACAATATTTAATTTACTTTTGTTCACCAGAACATTTCAAATATATTTCGGATGAGATAAAAAAAAAACTGAAAGTAACGTTAACATAGTTATCGGATGAATGAGTCAATTTCGTGAGTTATGAAAAAACAATTATACTATTTGGTGGCATGGATGAATGGCATTTTTGATGGTTGCAGTTTCGGAAATATTAGGTTCAGAAAATACATATTTTACAAATTTTGAGGGCCTATAACTTGAAAACAGCATTAAAAATACTGGAGAAAGAAGCAGATTTAGATAACGTTTTCTTTTAAAAGCTATGCCGCAGTAGAAGAAGGTTACCTCTGCTTTTCCTTTACAGTAAATAGTTAAAAAATGGCATTTGTAGATCTTTAAGTGCTATAACTTTTTGAGAAGGAGATGGGTAAATATTTTCTTTTACGAAAATAAGTTTTTGGCTAAAGATCTATTTGTATATAAATTTTCATTTTTCTATCTGAAAGGGTGTAGAAGTTTTGTTAAAATTTTGTAAATTTTGTTGTACGGACAATTTTGACAAACTGAAATTAGTAATCAATTTTTTCCAAATTTTCGGGAAAAATGCTACAAAGCTGTTGACCAAAACCATTTTTTGTACTACAAAACGCTTCTCTTTCAAAATTTGATATTGGCAATTGTATCTTTGAAGAAAAACTTAGTTCTGAATAGGAAAAGAAAATAATGCACTTATTGTTGGATAATATTGTATAAAGTTATAGAAAAATCTGAAGAAAAATTTTTTATTCGTTCTAAGATTCCTGCAAACATTACAAAGAATTTTTTCACCTTTTTTCGAATTGAGGAAGAAAAGTAGTTTTTAAGAAAGTTTTACTAGCAAAATGTCAGAATTAATGTAGATTTCAAATTCACTTATTCAAGGCACAAAGGTGTATTGTTTTATAAAAAGATTATCAATTTAATATTCTTGCTTCTAAATTCTTAAATTGACATTTTATAAAATTTCATGACAAATAGTTTGATAAATTGAAATTTCAATAAAAATTGTATTACTTTCTATTAATCTTAAGAAGAACAAGGAAGAAGGAATTTCATGTCTGTTAGTGGCAAAGAAAGCATACATATTCATATACCTCGTCTCGAAATTGTTTGCTAATTTATTTGGCTAAATTAACTCCATCCTATATATTTGCTCCTAAAAATATACGATTTATAATTTAATTATAGGATTCGTATAAATAAAGGAATGCCAAAGAAAATTGCAAGAAAAAATAAATAGTTTCTGAAATGACACACTAAATTTTTGGAAAATTTTATAATTTTTTTTTTATTTTGTGTTTTTGAAAAAAATTCATGCTATTGATTATGATAAATGCGAATACTATATAATAGTTAAAAAATAATTAAAAAGTCAGGTTCTAGCCAGGTTCACAGTCAATTTCTTTGTTATAAATGTTAGCATATGCCAGCAGTTCCATGTTCGTTATGTAAAAATTCTTATTTAAACACAAAACACATTTAAGAAATAAGTTATTTATGACAACAATTAGAATTGATTTGATTGCTGATTGAGAATGGCAGCAAGTATAGAAAATTTCATTTTGCGTAAAATTACAAAAGAACAAGAAAGAAATTACATTTTTGGGCAGTATGCTAAGCGGTAAGCTTATATATGCTAAGCGTAAAATTTTGATTTTACAGTACTTCAAAAAAAAAAAAATAAATGCAGCTTAATCTTACGCAGAATTTCAGATTTCATTTTCAAATCGTTAAGTTTTTTAGCAAAAAAATAAAGTAGTCAATATTAAACACAAAGTTTACGTTAAGTGTATAACATAATATAGCCACCATTCTTTGTGAATAAGTGGCACATAGAACATTTCATTGAAAAATTAATCGTTTTGGGTGTGAAAAGGGTCAAATATAAAAAAAAAACTGTTTTTGTATTCAAATATAAAATATTTGGGTATTGTAATATTAATTTTAGACTAACTGTTTTTATTAATTTGCAGACAATGTCTGCCTATAGCAGAGCTTGCTGCTTTTTTATCTGATCCTAAAAAATATCAATCGGAATATCTATTAAAAATTATAATTTTAAAGGCTTGCTTAAATTATTGTACTAAGATTTTTTTTAAAATTTTAAGAATTTAGAAATTAGATGAAGTACTCGTATGTATGTATGTATGTGTGAAAATATTACCTAAACGATCTTATTTTTATAGAAATTTTGCATGTTATCCTAAATATTGTTGAACTTATAATTTAAAAATTAATTTCAATTTACCGTTTTTAGTTATTAAATTTATAGTAGATTAAAGAAACTTACTAAATGACAGTTAAATTAAAGTTTTCTGCCAGGAAAAAAAGAATCGTATGAAATGGACAGCTTATTGTTCCTCTTAGAGAAGAAAAAAATTTACATTGCATTTACAAAGTGTTTCAATGTATATTTTTCTAACTAGCATTCACTACATAATCGTTTAGGCTCCTTGAAAATATTTAACTTGTAGTTGAACTTGAAATAGTAAAAATTTTGACTTTAAGCGATTTTCCCTTTATTTTAGATTTCTGTTTTTTTTTTGTTATAGAAAATATTTATTCCTTTTCTAAATTGTAAGGTCTGTTTTCAATGTTACTGGAGTTATTTTTATTCTGCTTTTAAATTTCTACTCAAACTCTTTTTTTTATGTTACTTTTGAATAGTCAAAATAGTTTTTTCGTTGTTAGACACCAAATGAAAAGGATTATGAAAGTAAATTAACCACTTTTCGTTCGTTTTGCAAGGATATTATGTTATTATATTCGGTTTCATATAAGTAATAAAAATTATACAAATAAACATACCAGCATAAATATTTATACACTCAGCATCTATGCATTTTTTTTATAAAATTTGAATTCTACACTATTTCTCAGTGCCCTGTGGCAATATCAAAAATAATAAAAAGAAAAAAACAAAAAGCGGTGATTTGCAGTATCCATGATTGAATAAATTTAAGTGATTTGCATGTACATATATATACGATTGAATAAATTTAAGAACTGCATCACAATTGCTGAAAGGATTCATGTTACACAAGGTATTGTTTTTTCAAATAGGAAAGTTTTTAGTAAAATACGTAGTTCATATAGAATATATATTTCTGAAATATTATTTAATTATTTTTAACGGTGTATCCAGATATTATTAAAAGAGCGTAACAATCCGACTAGTTTTCAGCCGTCTAAAAATAATGTCTTAAGTTCGACACTGGGAAGAATACATTAAAATATTTGTATAGAGTATTTCACCGTTTATATAATATTAATATCAACTGTTTATAAATTGTTGTGAATGGAAGTTTGGGAGAAATTTTAAATTTTTTAAACTGTAAGGTTCACTTTACTTGGGTGTACACACGAAATTAAAATTTATTCTATTAAAAATCACAACTTGCCTTTTCTCTTTGCATTTCTCCTTTTTATGGTTTGGAAGTGCAAAGTTAAATATTTCAAAATGACATTAATGATAAAAAGTTTTGGTTTAAAAAGTGACAAACCGCTTATCCTTGAAAAATTTTTAAACACAACTTTCAACAATTTATTAGTTGAAATTCTGCAAAATTATTGGAAAAATCTGGTAGTGTTATTGCTTCTAAAAAGTTTATTTACTTTTATCCTCTCATTATTCCAAATAATATTTGTCTACGAAAACTATGTTAATGTTAACACGATATAGGGTCAGCTGTTGTTATAATTGGTAGACGTTACTCCTTACGAAATCATTAGTTCGTTACATATTTAAGCACAATAATGAAAATCAGTCAACTATTCGTTTTGATTAACTCATAGATAACATTTTTCGAATACTTGAAAATTATAATTTTGCTATAATAAAAATTTGTAATAATATTAGCAAATTTTGTTTTCTAAAAATAAGGATACTGCACAGCATAACTAAATACAAAAGTTATTCCCTTGATTTTTTAAAATCAAAATCAACAATTACAAAAGGACAAGCATTCAAGCACAACTATTTGTTTTTTTATCCTTTTTATTATATAGTCGTTTTTCCCTTTTGTTTCTGTAAAAAATTCGGGTGATAAAATCTTCAAACGTTAACAGTATGTGATTGTATAAAAAAAATTTTGAATATTATTAAACCCAATTTTTTCTTTATTATGTGCAGAATACACATACATACCATTTAGATGAAGATTGTAAAATTTTATTAATTTTATGAATACATATATATATATACCTTAAATATAATTAAATAATTCAATGTAATGTGGTATTAAGTGAACTACTTTTAACCCTCATTTAATTATAATCATTTAATATTTGAGTCTATATAGTATAAAATTTTGTTGTTTTTAAGAGGTCTTTCAAATTCTATTAAATAACAAAAGAGACATCATTGAAAATAAATAAAGGATTTATACAATAGGATATATTTGATTTTTGAAAGGGATTAAATTTTAATATAATTAAATTGTATAATAAATAATATGTTGAATAGAAAATTAAATGAATGTTTAACAGGTCGTATAATTAGAGAATAGAACCACTTGTATGTATCTTATTAAATTTTATATGAAAATTTGTTTAACATTATAATTAAATAACACACAATTTATAAATGAAATTAATAATATGTGAGTACATAATATGGTTGTCATTGTGTTAAAAAGTTCATTTTGTTTTCATTAAGATATTATGTTGGTTTTATTCTTGTACAAATAATATTATCCTTTATAGATTATTTGTATATACTTGTGAATTTTTATGGGTGCATTTGCTTTGGCAAAAATTTTGTAAGTATTATAGTTCTGGTAATTAAGAGAATTAAAAAAGAAGAGAATTAAAAATTAATATCAATTTAGTATTTAAAACAGTTACTTACTTTCCGCAATAGTTTTTCAACAAATCATAAAGTTCGAATCTCAAATCAAACTCAATATCACAAACCTTAATACTTTTACTTGGTTCTAATATTCGTTTCGATGTTACATTTCTAAATCGCATGTGCTTGTTTTAAAATTAAATTTTTTTAAGATTTTTGTACTTTTACAAAGCATGCTGCGGTTTGTTTTTACCTAAAGAGAAGGTAAATTTTAGAAAAAATTTAAAAAAGGATTAATTAAACCTTAATAGAAAAACATATAGTGAAAAATCGTTTGAGCTTACTAATTTGTTGAAATAGTGTTTTTTCACGATTCGAAAGTCGAAATATACATACATATTGTTTTCCTAGAATTATGAAGTTCTATAATAACGTGCTATCGAATTGAGAAACGATTTCTGAGGTCATCCAAACATAAGATATTCTTACTGTTGATAACGACAAAAAAGGAAAACCTAAAATACATACACACATATTTTATAATATTTAAGAAAACAAGAAAAGTTTTTTTTTTCGTTTAATTTCTTTTCTGCTCAAAACGATCAATTAGTCAACAGAAAACTTTATGTATAGAAATTTAGACGCATAGAATGCTAGAAACATGTACACAAAGAGGTTTGTGTTTAGTATTGATTGTTTTGCGGAATCAGAAAGTTCAATATTTTAAAGATGGAAATTAAAGTTATTTGTTTACAGCTACTTTTATTTTGAAATACATAGGTCATGCAAGTAGATCATGCTTATTGGACATACATATTGTTGATGTAGGTTGGTCATACGAGTTTATCAAGCATGTTGGCCATACAAGTTTGTTATACAAGTTGATCATACAAGCTGGCAATATATGTTGGTCATACAAATTGGTTGTGAAAGTTTGTCTTGTATGTTGATCATGCAAGTTGGTTGTGCATGACAAGCTTGTTGATCAAACATATTTATCATGGATGTTGATTATGCAAGTTGGCTACGATGACGGCATATGCATGTGGGTTTGATGACATGCCGTTTTTTAGATTGCATGTGAAAATATCTTCTAATTTATGCTGAAAACTCATACATGGTTTTCCGCGTGAATGTAAAAATAATCGTTAATTTAATAAAAACTGTAATGTTTTTGTTTTATCTTTTTCTCTCTATTTACGTCTACCTACACATACGAGAATGAAAGTAGGTGCTTTTGTATGTACTTCTGTTTCCTACACTATTATTTCAATCTCCACAAAACTATTTTGGGAAGTTTGTTTTGCTACAGGTGAAAAACTGCGAACTTGAGGTTGTGGGAAGTCTCTGAATATTTTATAAAATTTCTATCATAAGCGAATATCTTAAAATTTGTAAACCAATAATTTAAATCGAATTTTGAATTTTATCTGTTAGTTTTAGAGCTAAATAATTTTATCTGTTAATTTAGAGCTAAATAATAAGAAATAATTTTGCTTTTACTGCAAATGCTTATATATTTATTTATAAACATATTTCCATTTTATATTCAATATGATTAACAATACATTATTAGTAAAAAATTTAATAAAATTTTCAGGTTTGGTTTCAAAATAGACGTGCAAAATGGAGAAAACAAGCAAGACTACAATTATTACAGGATGCCTGGCGAATGCGTTGTCTAAGTATAGGCGCATCACCAGTTCAAGGAGGTGCTGCTGGTAGTGGTAATGCAGGTACAAAATTAATTTAATCGCTAATTTTTTCATATTAATATGCGAATATTTATATTTTAGGCAGAGGTCCTTTAGATGCTAATGGATCACAAAATACACCAGAGAATTTATCGAATAATGAAAAAAATTTTCATACAAATGAAACTTCATCCACAAATATGACAATGATGCATTCATCATTTATTAATAATAAATTAATTACTGATGATCATTTAAAAGAATTAAGTGAAAATTCAGAAAAAACTTATACAGAATTAAAAATGTACAAAGATAGTATACATACAATTGAAAGTATAAATAACGGTGTCAATTCAAATAGAAATTCTTTTGATTCAGGATGTAGAACTAATTTAAGTAATCAATCATCAGAATCAGATGGATCTGATTCAGAAGAAATTGATCTTACATCATCAGGAACTTGTATTGATTTTTCTAATAATAACAACAACAATAATAACACTAACAATAATATTAATAATAAATGTAACAATCTTTAATAAATTTTACATTAGGCTTTTACAAAAAAAAAATATAAATCCAAAATAAATTCGCATATCTTCTTAATAATTTAAAACAATGAAACAAAAAACAATTATATTTTAAATATAATAGTTATGTAAAATGTAAAAATTTATTTAAAGAAAAACTAAATTGTATCTGTACAGAAATTGAAGATGATGCTAAAATTAAGCTTTAGATAATAATTAAAAATAAAATTAATTAACAAAGTTTTTATTTTGGATTCCAATTAGTGTTCTACTCTGGACTCTATCAGCCTTGTCAGACAACAAAATCAGCCTTGTATTGCCTAATAGACACCGAAATTGTATAATTTATCGTTTATCGGCATATTTTGTTTTTGAATTTATTAAAATTTAGAAATTCATTGAAAGTATAGTTTTGCCTGCGTTCTTTCTCAAACCATCTCAACGTTTCTAAAATGAAATAAAACCATTCGTAAATATGTGATGCAATTTCGTTAATTCATTTCGGAGTTATTGCTGAGATACCTGCATACCGACAGATAGAAATGGAAAAATAGCTTCTTTCTTGTGGAAAGCATTATATATTTTTCAGGTGGCCGAAATTTTTCAAGAAAATTGTAATATTTCTAGACATAAAAATTTATGTCTAGCATTTTAAATGAAATCTAATATTTCCAGTACATTAATAAAATTGCACTACTAAAAGCTACTACAATGCATAAAACTGAAAGTATAAACAATTATAAGACAAAATTCGATAGACATTTTCACACGTAGTGCATATCGGTATGGCGGTTTAATTATTATACCCACTAATTGTTTATAATCTTCGAAAATAAATGGGTTACAATAAGTTCGAATGTCACTTTTTTTTTCTCTTTACACACATTTTTTTCTTAATGTTGTGCTTATACTTCAATTCAGAAAGTAATCAAATTGATAAATGAGCTAATTAAAAGATAGTATTCTACAATAACTTAATGTATACACATCTACGTACATATATGTATGTATATACATTGTTGTTATTATTCAATTACATACTTAGCCAATTGAAATTTTATTTATTCAATTGTTTTGATCATTCAAATTCAATAAAATGATAAAAGCATTTTGAAAACGTTTTTTTTTGCCTATCTTGCAAAATTATTGGAAATTTTTTCACTTAAAAGTAAGTGCACTGAGAGAAAGAGAGAGGATCTTTCAAATAATGAGTGTTTTTTTTCTTTTAAGTTTACTTAATTTAATGTGTTCGCCGAGTGAAAATTTAGAGTACATATTTAGAGTACATCTTTTGAAAAAAATTAATAATTTATTATGATTAAATAAGTATTACAATATTAGTGAATATTCAGTTTTTGAAAATTTGAATTTTACTAAGTTCACCTTTACGGTTCACATATGAAAATCGCGTTTGAAGTAAGGATGTTTCATGCAAACAACCACAACTGCAAATTTGAAATCCACCTTGAACGAGTGGAAATAATCTTTTATTTTAATTATTTTCATAAATTTACCTATGTATATTGTATACACTTTTGGAATGATAACAAAAATTAATAACAAAAGCTGATAGTTTCCAAAAAAATACTCGTAGGGTGCTGAAATTTGAAACGACAAAATAAACCATTTATTAAGTACTATTAAAAAATATTTATGTTACAATTATAATTTTTCTATCTCTCTATCTATCTAGTTAACTATTTATCTATCTATCTATCTATCTTAATATCAACAATTGCTTTGTGAAACTTTTTATTTTCGTCAACAAAATACTGTTTAAGATTTTTCTTAAAAAAATTCTGAAATTCAATTCAAATATATAGTTTTATATATGTATGTATCTATACAAATTTTAGGTGTGGTTCCAAACAAGAATTCAGCATAAAGTTCAAATCTCTTAGACCCATTTTTATTTATCCATATATAGGGACTATATTTTCCTAGATTTTAACACATACTTCTGCTTATTAAATTATCAAACACTTGTCTTTCTAATCTTTTTATTTTAGTAGGTCAATATCATCGATGGGAAGTCTAACTAGGTACTTAAAATTTTAATTGGTTATAAATATTATGTGTTATTATAATTTTCAACCTATTCTCTTAGGATGAAAGTTCCGAATATTAAGCAAAACGAAATTAATGACAAATAGTCATATTTGGTAGGCGTAAAATGTTTTTCGTTCATATTTTAAGAACTGTGTATAAAGGATGAAAAATTATTCTACTAAAATATTGCAAGTTTATATAGTTATTTGCGAAGAAGGAATTTCCCATCAATTTGTGTGAGTTTTGTTATGATAACCAATATGTTTAAATATTAATTGCCTAAAATTTATAAATATTTTGTATTTTTAATTGAAATAACTATTTTTCATTCAAAAAATTTCATTCCAAATATTTAATAAATGAGAAAATAAAGAAAAAATTTAAAGGAAAAATTAAAATCTTTCATATGGAAGGCAATTATAAAAATCTATGTACTGGAGATGACTTTTAATACCCACCTTTTAATTGTAATTCCTAATTATTGCAATTTGAATAAACTACTAATTATAAGCGAATTTTCTATAGTTAAATGATTCTTCACATATCTCAAAAACCATTTTATTGCAGTATATCCAAAAAAAGTAAACTGAGAAATTATGCAATTTAAAAGTGCTATTATTGTAATAATTATAAATAATTGGTTATATGGTAATATATTAATAATAATATAAAATCAGTTTTAAATACTTAATTAATTTTTAAAATAAATCAAAAAGAAATAAAATAAAATCTAATCTATTTAGGTACTGACATTTGTAAATATATAGTAAGTATATATCAATGAATATGATTGTCCGTACAATGTGCATAAGTGATTTAAAGAAAAATAAATTGATAAAGTAAATGGTTCATAAAGCAGCACATTTCCTTCTAAAAAAAAGTGCTTTTCTTAAATATTTTTCCCATTAATATACTAAAAAATACTAAATAATTATTGCATACTTTTAGGACGAGGACAAAATTAAATGAAGCGTTTACATAATAATCGAATTCATAATGGCTAAATAGGTAAGTTAAGTCAAATATTTACCTTTTTTGGTTGGAAGACATTTCCTGTTAGTTAGATCTGACTATTATAGAAACTTAGACCTCACGTTTATAGAAAAAGTGATTGAAATTTCGCTAATTCTGAGGCTAAATAGATTTTAAGGTAAAAAAATTAACAATTCAAATTTTCAAATCTAAAGATTCCAAAAGTTATCGTGCCAAAAATTTAAAAATGCGCAAACTATTTTGTCATGTGATTGGTTCTGCTATTTCAAAATAGAAGTAAAACATCATTATGATTTCCACCAAAATTGTCAAAAAATTGCATTTTTGGGTTTTCTGGAGGACATAGATTTTAAAAGGAGATAAAAAAAATACGGACGAACAATCGGACAAGGTGAAATGAACAAGCACATTTTTTCACATTTAAAAAGCATTTTTTTTGGAAATGTGCTAAAAACGATTAAAAAATTCACACTAACCATATGGCTATGCATAATATTATATAATCTATTATACATACATAGAGGCTTACAATACAAAAAATTATATCACACCGCCCGCAGTTGAAAAAAAAGCCAATTGAGTTAGAAAGAAAATACAAAATTATTCTCTTATTATATTCTTATCAAAACTGATTTAAAGAATACAAACCAGAGAATAAAAAAATAATAAAAATAAAAAAAATATAAATAAATATCAAGAAAAAACTTGAAGTATAAATAAAATTTATTTATAAACACAATTTCTAATTCAGTGTTTAGTTGACATTTTGAAGGCAGTGAATCTAGATCTATAAAATATTTAAAAATAGTCATCATCCTATCTAAGAATTGATAAATGAAAAAAATATAAATGTTTCAAATTTAAAATTAACATTATTTCTTTAATAAAATTTAATTATATTAAAAATAAAAGCTTAATTTAAATCTAAAAGAGGTGAGAAACTTTGTAATTTTTTTTTGAAAAAATTTTGATAATTAATTGAACAATGTGTTAAATTTAAATATTATTTTAAAAGGTGTTCTGTAATCTTAATAAAATTAAAATTGTTTTTAATCTTTTATTTCCTCATAAGTTAGAAATAATGAATTTAAAAATGTTTTAATAAATTCATCAAATAATTAATTAGTTAATTAGTAACGTTACGTCAAATTTATTAAGCTTATTCAAAATGTGAATATTTATTTAGATAGGGGTTATTAAACCATTAAATTTTAGAACTTAAAATACATATAAGAAAGATTTTGGCCATTTTAACTTGAATCACCACATTCATTAAGCTGAAAATCATTTATAAATTTTGATTAATTAAATTTATTAATTCTAAAAATATTGGTGTATAAATAAGAGAAGATAAAAAATAATTTTTTTTAAATTTACCGTGTTATGCCTGAAATAAGGTTAATGTCCTAAAATTTGAAGTCCATAACAGTAACAAAGTGATTTTTTTGTAACGGTTAATTTAGTTACAAAACAAAAGAAATGAGTTATAATGACACTCCTATATTTCACTATATCCCATAATCCTGACGTTGGAATGAGTGTTGAATTAGAATAGTAAGATGTAATATGTATTTGAGAAATATGTCAATTATATTGGGATAGATTTATGCTTACCAAAATTAATTCCGCGATTTTAATATGTATGTATTTAATCAATTCCCTTAAGAGCTTGCTAAAATAATACGAATTTCGTCATTGTTTGAAAAATACAAGTATACAAATATTATTTATCTATAGAGAGTGTCTTTGATGGCATAGGAAATAATTAATATTACAAGTTTTTATTGTACTTGATTAATTAATATTAATATATGTATATGTAATGTCTTACGATGATAAAATTATGTTTTAAATTAATATTTCTTTAATTAAATAATTAACTCCAATTTTCAATTAAAATATGCTTTGACAAATAAAAATTTTTATAAAATGCTTGCTAAGTAAATTTGAATTATGAATTTTTGTAAATAACTCACATTTGAATTGTGATAAAATTTTATATCAGAAGAAAAAATTTTTTTTCTAAAATTTTCAATTATAGTTATTTAAATTATTGTCACGCGCGGAAGCAAATTGAAATGATAATTTGATAATTAAATGGTAAACTCTATAACATAATTACAATAAAAAAATTTTTTGTTAAATATAAATTATTAAATTTATTATAGAAAAAGTAATTTTGTTAAATGTTTGAAATTTATTGAAATTATAGTAAATTATTTTATCCAAATTTCTATATTTATTTGGATATATTGATTATTTATAATTATATATGTATATAGTTTTACGCTCTTAAAATTTTTTTAATATTACGATGTTCGGAATATCAAAATTACGTTTTTCAGTTTACGAGATTCTCAACAGTTACATAGACTCACTTCAAATCGAGAAATTTGAAAAAGAAATTAAAATTGTTAGTTATGGTTTAAAATTTGAACATAGGCACTTTTATAATTTTTATGAGTTTTGTAAAATTTTCATGTAAAATCCTTAAATATGCAAAGCACAAAACGTATAAACGTACAATCATCTGTATACATATATATATATATATATATATATATATATATATATATAAATATAAATGTAATGTACACTATACTCTTTTTATGTAATAATAAATTATACCAAAATTAATTCAGGCCTGTAAAACTTCTTAAAAATTGTACTTAAATATATTAAATTCAGTGTGACTTGTTCAAATAAATTTTTTTTATTAATAAGTATAGATTCAGATTTTTGCATCATTGTGTCTACAAGACAGACGGTTATCAATTCCAACTTTAGACTAAATTGTCCATATACTTTGGTGTTAGAAGCTATAATGATGTGACTTTGATAATATAAACCTCGACTATTAAATACTAACCTATTTTACTACATTTGGTAAGGTTAAATACAAGGAGAAAAAGAAAAATTATAATGATTAAATAGGGCGTTCGATAAAAATTTGTGTATATAAAATTGTTCTCTTAATATTTTTATATTATTGGTTAGAAATCGAAGTATCATACAATCAAATAAAATATGTACTTGAAAACTTCGTTTCAGCACTTGAAATTCCAATTGTTATAAAGAAATTTTTTTTTTTTTATTTTATTTTATTATTTTATTATTAATATATTGATCTGCTTATACATGCATATTTATAACTTTACAGAGAACAGATTACTTAAATCTACACAACTGGAATATTTTCATTACAATAATTAATTACAGTTAGATTTTAGAATATAAAAGAAATTTTTGTAAGGAAAACGAGAAAACCTTACCTTTGATTTTTTTTTTTCACTTATAACAACTTAGAACTAACTTACATTACTATTAAAAATATATTTCATTAATGAAAGAAAAGAAATTATAAAGAAATAATAAGCAATAATGTTATTATATACTTAACACTATACACTTATCAGAATATTTTAGAATTAGATAATTTGAATTAAATATGTACTCTATTTCATACCCTATTATTTATATATATATATATGTATATAATGTATTTCAATTTTTTCAAATTTGGCACAATATTCATGTATGTAATAACAAGATAACTTGTAATAATAATGTAGATACAAATATGTGAATATGTAGGCTATGTTAAAAACATAGCCTATTTTCCCTTTGCAAATCGGTAATTTTGTAAAATATGTTTGTGTACATTTGTATTGGCACACTTTTCTATGATGAAATATATACAATTTCATATAATAATGTATACATATTTTAGCCAATAATACTATATATGTACATTTATACTTTACATGAGCCTTTAACACTTATACAATTTTATTAGACCTCTATTATGATTTTAGTACTAAGTTAGCAAATAAAAAAATGTTTCAAAAAAGCATATTTCATTTACCATACACATACATAATTAATGTTTTTCATATTATATGCAAATTTGTCTCTACAATTGCTTTTTATCTTTTGTTACTGTATGACATCTAAATTTTAGTTGTAAGTTGTAATCTATTATTCTCAATACTGTTCAAATTTGACTTGAAGCTAAAGAATCAGGTGATTCAGAAAATAATAATTACTAAGTAGAAATATGAAAACTTTGAGATCAGTAACAAAGTTCATAAAGAGAGTAACAGTATATAGGCGCCATTTTTATTGAGAACAACAGTTTTATTTAATATATATACTGTGCACATATAAGAAAATTCACATTTCGAACCTTATACGTCAGGTATGTAAATATTTTATATGGTAAGTATACCCCTTTGTAAATATTTTGTATTTGGCTAATCACTTAGAAAACGGACAAAAACCTAAAAGAAAGAATATTTTTTTACTAATTACAAAAAATAATGTGCTACACCAAATTCGTATGCACACTAAATTTTCTGTTTTATATGTTATTATTTACGAAACGCAATATATGTATGAATTTTCTTCATATACGCACTCTGACGTAAATGGATATAAATTAAAACAATAATGTATATAAATAGAATTATATACATACATACATACATGGGTGCAACAATATAGTATTTCTATACATAAATTTTATTTCTTTATTTTAATAGTCAAAATTGTTAATAAAATTTTTTTGAATGAATTTTCATTAAGTTTCGGGTAAATACTTAATTGCTTCAATATGCAAATAATGAGTGTTAGTTGATTTTTTTGATTAAATAATTAGCGACCTGAACTGTGGACGGTTAAACATATTAAAACAATTAATTAAAAAAAAAATAATTTTTAAATTGAACGAAACTGGAAACCGGGATTAAATTTAAAATTTGAGAAGGGTGAAGAAAAATATTGTGTAAGAGCGATAATTTACTTATAATAATTCACAGTTTGAGTTTTGTTGTGGCATATTTGATCCCATATCAAATTCTTATTATGTGGTTAATGTTTAATAATAAGAAAACATTAAAAATTATTTAAAAAAAATATAAATTTGGCAGTTTTATGTTGTGAATAATAATAATAACAGTAATTGTACCAAACATAATTTATAAGTAAAGAGATGTGAACTTACTGTTCGTAAAGTAGATTTGATAAAAAATTGTAAGAGTGAAAGTTTCAGATTAACTTATTTGTGATTAATAAGAGTTAAAAATAAAATTGAGATTTTCAATAGTAAATCTTCAAAATTTAACAAAATCACATTAAGTCTTGCATTGATTTTTAGCAATTTTTTCATCCTTTAAGCCATTTACCTTAAACTTGCAAACAAACACATGTAATAATTGGAAAAGTAATCTGAAATGTGTCGTTTAATATAGACAAGAGGTTTGCCGTTAATGCTTGATTTAAAGTGACCTGGAAGTTTCCGGATCCCTTTAACAATTTTAAAATCATTGCAAATATTTTAAAATTCAACAACATTTGTGGGCTTTTATTTTTTTATTGTTTAATAATCTCAAATAAATTGCTATCCTATACTTATTTGTAACAACGATCAAAGCAAGCGTTTGTTTGCTTTTTTTTTGAAATAGTGTTGAAAAAAAAAATTATTTATAAAAGTCAGGCAAACAGAAATAATAGAATCAATTTAATTTTTTTTCACTTTATTTTACAAGCAAAATATTTTTGTTTTTTATTTTTTATATTAAAACTAAAAAAGAAAAGAGATTAAAACAACATACATAGCAGTTCTAATAAAAATTTCGTTCTGATAATATAAAATACCGGAGAGTTTAAAAACTGAAAAAATTAAATTATGAATAATAAAAAAACTAGAAAAGTTATTTTGTAAATAGCGCTCTCTCAAGTTGTAAGTGGAAAGCAAAAACAAAAAAAAAAACAAAACAATGATAATCATTCTGTACATACTCGTACTCATTTAGTATGAACAATATTGTGTATGCAACAATAAGTGTCGAATATTAAATTTTGTAGCAGCAAAACTATTGAAAATAATATTATTAATATTATGCAATGACAGCTGCTGTTGTAAGTGATTTAAAGGCAAAAAAGTTTTTTTTTGCCTTTAAGTAGATTTTTGCTCGTAACAATTCTAATGACATAAAATAAGCCTATGCGTAAGCGAATTCATTTTAATTAGTGCGTTATAAAATGTGTTTTATGTAGAAACATTATTGTTTTATTCTTAAATATTTTTAAGTAAATGAATAATTTACCATTCATGAGATTAATTATTCATCTACTTATAATTTGTAGCATTTTTTTAAAAATTTGATCAAAAATATGTATATTTATATTTTATTTATCAAATAGCGAAACAAGGACAGTAAAGTAAAACTGTGGTAATGCTATTGCGAGCTAGTCAAAAAATTTTCCTCAATCAAAAAACAAAATAACAGATTCAATTTTTTATGGAAAATAATAATTTAAATAATTTAAATTTTTGATTTATTGAACTGTCGACACTATTTTATACGGTGACGGTGACAACTGTCATAAAGAAGTTTGTAATGCAAAGACGTTTTCTTAAAAAAATACTGCCGTGAAAGTTATTTATAATAAAAGTTTATTTCTGTATATATCCCAAAATTGTAACGATCAACTTTCAAATTATTGTTCTTAATAATTAAAATATTTAATACTTCATTGTTATTAAAATTAACCTATTGTATAAAGCTTACATATCCAATTAACGTCGATATGTTAATGATTTTGCAAATAGTAAAATAACAAGTGTATATTATAAAATTATTTAAATTAATAATGAGTTAAAAGTACAAGCAGCTCTCATTATATTAAATGGAAAAAAATGTTTTCTTATTGACTGTAAAAATTAAATAATATGACACTTAGCAAAAAATTAAGTTCATTATGTTTTTGATTATAAGTCATTTGGAAATGTAGTGAAATTGTGATATTAGTTTATAGTATTATTTTGTAACAATTACATGTTAAACAGGATATTATTCCATTGCCTTAGCTGACTTTGCCAAAAAATTTAATTTCAAATAGCTCATACAATGTGTTACAGTTATTTTGTTTGCCGTTAACTTAATTTACACTTTATTGGTGACTTACTTATATGGCATTAATCACTTCCACTTTGTCTTTCATGACTAATTTGTTCTCTCTAATAGCAATTCATTTAGAGAGCAAAAGTAAAATTTGTGTGCTCAGCTCAGCATGTTTTATGAAAATAAAGAAGAATGTTTTTATTTTTTGTCAATTGTTATCAAAACTTCAAAAAATATTATCGGAATCCCGCATTCCTCATTGTTACATTTAATTAACGTTTAATTTATATGACACAATTTGATTGTAGCCATTACGTTGTACTTATTATTAGTTTATTTACATTTTATTTTACAGTATTTAGTAAACATTTTCAACCTTATATTTATGGCGTTCTTTTTAAGGGCTCTTTAATTTAAACATATTATACTCTAAGCGCATAGCATTCCAACTGCATCATACCATACATAAGAACAAAAGCTAAAATATTATTACCATTCCTACAGTTGAAAAAGCTAATTTAAGTGCAATAAAAAATAAATTATTTCCAAAAAAATTCAATTAGAAATTTAATTTTTTTGCTAAATTTTATTTTTAGAAAAATTTCATTAGAAGATGACAAGCTGTCAATCTACCGCAATATGTTGTTTAATTATAATAAGTCTATTAAAATTTGTGGTTAGTGGACGATCATACATTTGTAATGAAAACCATCATTGCGTAAAAGGTACAGGTGAATTCGAATATAAAACACAAAATGAATGTCGACTGTCCTGTGGGTCATATGGATCATTATGGCCACAGCCAACCGGAGGAATTATGTTATCACCAAAACGAGTATATTTTGATCCCGCTAATGTAAGGTAAGCTCTTTTCACTATTTGATTAACAACATTTTGGGAAATTCTTTTATTTTTAAGTTTAACTTCGAGTAAAATTTTTGAAATATTAAATATTTTTTTCTTTTGTATCGATTTGTACTTCAAAAACTACTATTTCCAAAAATATTGATGATGATTAATGTTTTACAGTATTACAAATATTTATTAATTTCAGATTTAATTTGGTAGCTCCAAGTGCAAAAACTCAACAGTATTTATCAGACAATTCCCGATTATTCAAAAAAAATATTTTAAAAGAATGTCCAAAAAATGCATGTGCTTGGGATGGTAGGGAACAAATTTTTGTTAAAGTTAGCGTTAACTCTGACGATATGACTTTTGACTGGAACACTAATGAATCTTATAATTTGACAATTGATTCAACAAGTAAGTTAAATATCTGTAGAAAATTATTTTTAATTAGAAAATTTATCTGTAATGACAAATATATTTTTAGATGTGACTGTTTATGTGGATGTTAGAGCTCATTCAATATATGGTGCCAGATTGGGACTTGAAACATTAAGCCAGTTAATTACTGGGAATCAAAAGTACGAGCAAATGATTTTTTTTAACAAGACTTCATTTAGATTTAAATCTTTGTATTTTTTATACTATTTAGGAGCGGTCTTGTTACAGTAGCTTCTGGAAGAATATCTGATGCCCCAGTATTTAAACATCGTGGTCTTCTCTTAGATACTGCAAGGAATTTTATACCAATAAGTAATTAAATGCTGTTTTATGAAAATTTTCAAAACATCACTTTGAATACCGATTTTTATTGCTAGGAAATATTAGAAAAACTTTAGATGCAATGTCAGCCTCAAAGATGAATATTCTGCATTGGCATGCAACTGATTCACAAAGTTTTCCAATAGAAATTTCTAAGCTTCCTCACCTGCAAAGGTTAGAATAATGTTGGTTTGTTAAGATTGACTTTTAATAAAATTGAATTGTATATTAGGTAGATATTTTATAATTTCTTCACTTCAATTAATAGATTAGGCGCATATTCTTCCGAAATGAAGTATTCCAAATCAGATATAGAAGATATAATTAAATATGCCCGTTTAAGAGGTATAAGAGTATTAATTGAATTTGATGGACCAGCCCATGTTGGAAATGGTTGGCAATTTGTTAGTATTCATTTTATATGTAATTATGATTTAGAATTTTATTTTACTAAATTACATTTAAAACAGGCATCCCGAGCGGGATTAGGCGATTTAGTAGTTTGTTTAAATGCACAGCCATGGCGCAAATTCTGTATTCAACCACCATGTGGTCAATTTAATCCTATCAATGAAAATTTATATCCTACACTGAAACATCTTTTCGATGATATTGCCGATATGATCCCATTAGAGGAAACTATTCATATGGGAGGTGATGAGGTAAAACTCAAATAACGTATATATGAATATCACATACAAATCCAAGTTCATTTAAATTAAGTCATCAGATTTTCAAGTTTCTTTTAAATTTTAACAGGTTTTCATTCCATGTTGGAACGCTACAAATGAAATTTTGGATTACCTTAAACTGAACGGATTGTCAAGGACAGAAGAAAGTTTTTATCGTTTGTGGTCTGATTATCATAAGAATAATTTAGGTACAAAATTTTTATGATATTCATTACATAAAATTATTTATTATTTATGATACCTTACCTTACAGATATCTGGGATGAAATAAAATCAAAAAAAAGATTAAATGATCAACAACCAGTAATAGTATGGTCTAGTCATTTAACATATCCAGATGTTATAGAAAAATATTTCCCAAAAAATAGATATATCATTCAAACATGGGTTGGAGCCGATTTACCTCTAAATACGGAACTCTTACAAAAAGGTTATAGAATAATTGTCTCAACAAAGGATGCTTGGTATTTAGATCATGGTTTCTGGGGTCAAACAACATATTATAATTGGAAAAGAGTATATCAAAATCAAATTCCCAGAGATTCTGGTGTTCTGGGTAAGTATTAAATAGTAACAATTATTTTCAGCAAGAAGGTTCTAATATTTTAATATTTCAATAGGCGGCGAAGTTTGTATGTGGTCAGAATTTGTTGATGAACAAACTTTAGGTAATTTTTATTCAATAATTTTACAAATATATTCACACATTTTGATGTTATTTTAATTTAGATGGTAGAATATGGCCACGAGCTGGTGCAGCAGCCGAAAGATTATGGTCAGACCCAAGAGTTTTAGAAAGTGATTTAGAACCAAGATTTTTGAGATATAGGTAAATTATATTTAAATGTGATTTTTAATTTTTTGGATAATAAATTATTAATAATTGTTTTTAGACAACGTTTAATAACAAGAGGTGTTGATCCTGATGCAGTAGTTCCCAAATATTGTGAACTAAATGAGGGAGAATGTTTTTAAAATATAGGTCATTATATACACATTCTTAAACACTTATGCGTGGTCATGAAAGCTTTAATAAAAATATTTAGTTTATATATTCCGTCTCCTATAATAATGATTTTATAATAATGTAAAAGTTTTATTAAAAAATTATGCAAGAGTCTTAAGACTGCTATGTAAATTGAAATGTAAATTTTTTTTAATGAAATTATAGCTGATGTAAGTCCCATTTTAATGTTTAAAATATATATACCTATATATAGCATATAATAAATATTATTTGTTATTTAAAAGAGCTCGAACATTTTTTAAAATTTTATCAAAATGTCAAAATGTACTAATAGCTGCATACTCCGATCAGTGCCGATAAATGAATTACATATTTTGTCTAGTTCACCTATAGCTACTATGAAACTCTGATGATTATATTTATGACGTTGTAATATAAAGCTATGAAATATTAAAAAAATTAGTATTATAATAAAATTGCCTTGCATGATATGAATATGTTTTCAAAATATCTGAAAACATAACCAATTATTTCTGTGAGAATCTACACAATTTTCTAAAATTTATGTTAAATTTTGAAACAACGGTCTCTGAATTACATTTTGCAAGACTTGAAACTGTTACAAATCATACTTTTATAAAATTCCTACTCTGGTAGCATTTTAGATATAACGCTCAATTTTCAAATAATAACAATAGATGAATTCTTAATCGTTAACGTAACTTGTTAAGAAAAGTTAAAGTGCTTAATATTTTTTTACAGAATTTTTCAACCTCAATATTATGATTTTATATGTTTTACTAGCAGTTGAGCCTCGAATACTAATAACAACATTTCGAAATGTTCGAAGAAAATACAAATTTTATCACTAATTCAAGATTTTTGAACTAAAATTTTACTGTGGTGAAATTTTAATGCTGTGTTGAGAAAAGTTTTTTTAATTTTTTAAATTGTCTTTACTTATTTTTTGTATTTTCTTTTCCTATCTTTCCTATTTATATTCATTCTGGTTTGTGTCTTTACTGTTAAAATTGTCAAAGTTCAATACCAAAATGTATTTAGTAAACGTTATTAGTACATAAAAGAACAAAATAGTATTAAAAAAAATTGTAAGAATAAGTTTTGTAAGAAAAAGTTCTAAAAAAATTTAAAGTAAATAATTTAGAAAAATTTCCAATGATAATTATTATTAATGTAAATGAGTTATGATTGTAGCTACTTGAGGTCATCTTGCATTTTTGAATTTAGGAGCTATTATTTTAGTTTTAAGCTCATTGTAAAGCATCCTTAAAACACTGTGCTAACTCTAAAAGAATAGTATAATCTCTTTCGGTGAGCAGTGATTCTATTGTTGTTGATTCGTAATTAGTAGTAGAGTTTTATACTCTATAAGTCTATAGTCTATCTATATGAATAGTAATGGTATTCTCAGAAAAGCAATAATATTCTTTTTGAATCTTTCTGAAAATGATATAAAATTATAAATTTATTAATTTTACCTTTAATTGTACATAATTAATCAAATTATTTATTCATTTATTTATTTATTTATTTATTTCAAAATTTTTAATTTCTTTTATAATCCCAGTTAAAATATTTAACTTATTAAAAATATTATGAGAAGAGCCATAATTATGAATTTCTATTAGTAGTAAATCGAAATATATAATTCTTTTGTAAATTATAAATTAAATTTTATATTAGTTTAATAATTATAATTGAGTCTATAGTTTCAAATTATTTATTTTGAAATTAAAATAAAGCATACCATTAAAATAATTACAAAAATGGTGGTCGAAATATTGGCTGTAAATTTACGTAAAATATGAATAAAAAATTAAAAATTGAAAAAGAACAAGAATTTAATGAAAAAGTTTTGAATAGAATATTAAATTTGAGTTATGTTAAAATTAAAAATTTATATTTTTCAATATTTTAATTTTAATTTTTATAATATTCCAATTGTATACATATTTTTAAAGTGGCGTATTGCCTTAACATCTTAATTATTGTAGTAATGAAGTATTATACATAGGACACGGTCAACAAACTAGTAAGTTTAATAAATTAGTCAAATTAAATGTAAAGTTACAGGACTAATGAAGTAAGAACTTACTTAAAATCATGAGGCATACAAACTCGCATTTATAAATGACTACTATGTCATTTATACAAACTCGCATAGTTTATATAAATGACTATTATATTTAGAAAATTCAAATTTGTATATTAATTTTATATATTATGAGTATGTTTAATTGACATAAATTTATTTTCGAATTTTATTTGAAAAATAAGTTAGAATAATGTTCGATCATTAAACAGATTATGTTTAATTAATTTTAGAACCAAAATATTTTTGTTTGTATGAGGGAGTCATTTAATTCTGATCGTGTAAAATAAATACATATTTGATTAAAATAGGATTATAATATAAAGGAGGAAAATTTTAAGATAGGATATGAATTTATTTATATTGAATATACTAAATTTTTATTTTTTTTATAATTTATAGGGTAAATTGAGTATCGTATTTGAAAAATAGTTCAACCTACTAATTAAATCAATCAAATCCTGGGTTTTTAAGTGTACATATATGAACGGCTTAAGAACTGACTTAATACACGAAAACTTTCTTTCTAATCTTTCATAATATTCAGCTAAGATTTATTGGGATTAGTTTGCAAAACAAAAAATTCATTTTAAGATAAAATGCATGCTTTAATTTTGCAGTTGATTATCAGTTTAGTTTATTAAAAATATCTTGATTTTTCTCATTTCTTTTTATTTAATTAAAAAAATTAATTACATACATTTGTGTATACATGTTAATAATTTTAAAGAATTCACATTTTTTTTCTGTTTTATTTAAATATTTTCTATTAATTTATTCTTAAAGTGTAATGTTATATGAATATTGTCGCCACCGACACATAAAATAAACCGGCAAAATGTAAAAATTATTTACAATTCAATGCGTATCAAATTATTATTATTATTTATAAAAATTTAAAGAAAAGAAAAAAAAAATTAAATAAATTCACATAATTAAAAGTGATATTTTAACGGTGGTGATATTATTAGAAAATTTCTTTAATAATGCAAAAAACAACAATAGTAACAACAACAAAACCAAAATGAATATCTCTAATAAACATGTTTAATTATAAATTCTTGAAAAAAAATAAAAATGAGAAGAAAAAACTAGAAGAAAAAGAAGAAAAAAAAAATTAAATTTCATTAAATGGAAGAAAATTTTACTTCCACTTTATAAGAAAAATTTATTATTATATTTTTTTTTCTCTTCATTTTGGTTTTAAAAAGAAAGTTTTCAAAATAATATGCGAGTTGCGAACGTTATGCCGCTATGGCATTGAAAATAAGAAAACATTATGGTAAACAACAATGTAATTATATATTGTTTATGTTTTTTATGTTTTTAATTTCATGTTTTTTTTTGTTATGCTTCTACTTATATGTTTGCTTTAAAAATGTGTACACAAAGTTAAAGGGTAACACGTATGTATAACTATCATTTTACGATTATTGTCTTTTTAGTTTTTCTTGCATTTTTTTTATTTTGTTTTTTGTTTTTTTTTTTGCTTTTTTAAGAGTTGGGCGATTTTTATTGAAAAATAATTGAATTTCTGTTGTTCTATAAATTCTATAATCGATTTAAAATTTTTTTTTGACAATTACCATCATATGGCAAATTTGTCTGAACAAACAAATGGAAATTTCAAAACCATATATGATTCTCAATTGTCATAAAGCGAGATCTAATTATGTTAGCTTACATATAAACACAAAAAATTCAAATATTCAATTAAAATTTTCAATATGTATAAATATGGAAAACGATATTGCATTCAACATTAAGTAATAGTTTCGAAATATTAGCATTATTGCTCACCCATAAGAACATATTCTTATATGTAGTAGGAAGATTTTTGGTTCATGAATAAATGAAAACAATGAATGCGAAACTAGAAAAAATCATCAATCAGTAAGTTTATGAAAAATTCGGAAATTTTGCGGTAGATTAAAGAACAAACGTTTCTTTATGTGGGATATTAAACGCATATGAGTGCAAATAGAGCGTCGAAAAGCATGATAATCCACTTGATCAAAAAAAATTAAAGATTTGAGTTAAAGACATATATTAAATTGGTATCAAGTCGCCATAAATCGAAATGAATGGAGGCGCTTTTGTAATTCAAGCTTCAGGTCACTCTGGATTGAACATATCTGACGTATTTACAGTTAAGGCAAGTGATCATTATGATTTAACTATTTTTTTTGTTTAAATTAATCAATAATTTGGAAATCATTTTTTATCCAGGAACAAGAGCATATGTAGTATATGTAGTATATGTAGCACATTTGTATCTTCAAAGTTCAAAATTTCCATAAGGATTCATAAACTTTTGGTTATTTTTTAAAAGTTCTTGTTATATTAAAAATAATTGGCATATTTCAATTATTGAAACACAATTAATGCAGAAGAAATAAAATTCCAATGTTAATATTGTGATCAAGTTAATTTTGGAATGTCACACAAATATTTTATTTTAGGTTCAAGCAAATTATAAGTTTTTTCTTTAGAACTAAATTTTATATGTGCATAGCAGTTATGAACTTATATGAAGTTGGATAAATAAATTAAATAAAATTTACATATGAAGATTTTTAGTATAACAGTTTTGATAATTGTATGGTACTTGTGACGTTGTTATGTGCTAAAACGCAAATTGCATTTAAATTATTAAAAAACAAATTGTGTGTTTTTACATTTGTAAAAATCGACAACATCGAAATGTTGCTAATTTAAAAAATTTTGGTTTTTGAAAAACATGATTCTTGTTGAGAACAGTTAAAAAAAATGTTTTTCTGTAAGAAGAATTTTTATATTAGTGGTTTTTGACGTTGAACAAAATTGGTTTTTAAAAAATAATTTTTCCACTGTTTTAGCAATTATTTTAACAAAATTTTCATGTATAACATAGGGTCATAGGACCTATTTTATTTCTGTAAGGCTTTTGCATATAGAGTGAACTCAAATAACGTAGACATTTGAGGACTGTTTAATATTTTTTTTTGTATTATATTTTGGTTTATAATTTTGAAGAATTCATAAAATTCTTTCATAATACTTTTGTATAAAAAATATTCCATGTTTATATTTGATTATTATTCATTAATTGTATAAGTATCAATTTATATGATACTTATACATTTAGTTTTTTTTGGATTCAATTCTTACATGAATAAAATTTATAATTTTTT